GGACCTTTGTCCCTCCGGCCCTCAGGAGCTGGAGGACACCAACAAGTGGGGGCTCAACGTGTTTAAAGTCGCTGAGTACTCGGGGAACCACCCGCTGACGGTCATCATGTACAGCATCTTCCAGGTGAGCATCCCAACGGGGACGTCCCCGTCCCCACGCCTGGGGTGGGACGAGCCACCTCCCACCTCCCCGCAGGAACGTGACCTGATGAAGACCTTCCGCATCCCCGTCAACACCTTCGTCACCTACATGCTGACGCTGGAGGACCACTACCACACTGACGTGGCCTACCACAACAACCTCCACGCCGCCGACGTGGCTCAGTCCACCCACGTCCTCCTCTCCACGCCCGCGCTGGAGGTGAGCCCCAGCCACCCAAGGCTACCCAAGGCCACCAAGGGTCTCTGGTGGGGATGTAACGCACCTGGCGTGGCTTTTTCCGCCATTCCTAGGCCGTCTTCACAGCCCTGGAGATCATGGCTGCCATCTTTGCCAGCGCCATCCACGATGTTGACCACCCCGGCGTCTCCAACCAGTTTCTCATCAACACCAGTGAGCTGGGGGTGTAGGGATGGAACCGGGGGTGCGTGGGAGGCACCCTGGGGTGACCGGTGCCGTCTCACAGACTCGGAGCTGGCGCTGATGTACAACGACGCCTCGGTGTTGGAGAACCATCACCTGGCCGTGGGCTTCAAGCTTCTCCAGGAGGAGAACTGTGACATCTTCCAAAACCTGAGCAAGAAGCAGAGGCAGTCACTCCGCAAAATGGTCATTGACATGGTATGGGGGAACCTGGAGTGCCCCAGGGTGGGTGTCTGGGCTGGGGGGGGGCTTTGTGGTGGGGTCAAGTTTGAGCCCCGTTCCCGGTTTGCCCTGCCCAGGTGCTGGCCACGGACATGTCCAAGCACATGAATCTGCTGGCGGATTTGAAAACGATGGTGGAGACCAAGAAGGTGACGAGCCTGGGAGTGTTGCTGCTGGACAACTACTCCGACCGGATCCAGGTGGGCACGGGGGAACCTCCCTGGCATTGCAGGCCATTGGTCTTGGCTCTGGCCAGGGCTGCCGGGATGTCCTGCTTGGTGCCACCATCCCTCTCAACCCCGGTTGGCCACGGCCAAGGGGGTTCCTGGCACAGGGGTGGTGGCCCTGGGGGACAAAGGACTTTGGGTGAGTGATGCCGCGGCTGTGTCTGCAGGTCCTGCAGAACATGGTGCACTGCGCCGACCTCAGCAACCCCACGAAGCCGCTGGAGCTCTACCGTCAATGGACCGACCGCATCATGGTGGAGTTCTTCCACCAAGGCGACCGGGAGCGGGAGAAGGGGATGGAGATCAGCCCCATGTGTGACAAGCACACTGCCTCCGTGGAGAAGTCCCAGGTGGGCCAGTGGCGTGGGGCCGGGGTGAGGGTCATGGGGCCAGGCTGGAGACTCAGCTCTGCCTTCCCCCCAGGTGGGCTTCATTGACTTCATCGCCCACCCGCTGTGGGAGACATGGGCCGACCTGGTGCACCCTGATGCCCAGGAGATCCTGGACACGCTGGAGGACAACCGGGAATGGTACCAGAGCATGATCCCTCGGAGCCCATCC